CAACTACCTTAGTCCTTTTGAAGACATCTGTAAACAATAAAAACTTCAAGAAACGAGGAAATCCAATCAAATTTCGACAAGTACAGCAGCTGTTCTCCACAGTTGGTGCAGCCTGGTGGTAGATTTATCCCCGTCCCAACTCTGAGAAAAAATGTTGCTGCAATAAAAGTCTGGATAAAGAGGGAAGAAGACTTGGGCTGTGTACTCACCCTCCCTTCTGTTGAGCTTGGCGTAGAAAGCAGCATAACTGGCTGAGGACTGAGAGGAGCTCTGAAAGGATGAGTGTGGCAGGGCCGACACCAGAGGACTATTGCAATTATCTGGAAAACACAAAAGGAAAATGTTGGCATTAGGATGTGTCCTGTGTGCRTCTTGTTGCTGAGCTTGAATTTGTTAAATAGACAGTATTTATTGTCCATTACCAATGGCAAAAGGACCAAAATGTGTTTGTTTGTCTGGCATGTTAGCAAGATATCTCATCAACTAGCATAAATATTTCAATGATATTCCCAAGGTAATTACTAGGTGTATATCTACAAATGACGTAAAATTTAACATAAACCAAATTCAAAGCTAAGCAACAAACACAAAAATGTAACTCAATCAATTTCACTGACATTAGACTAAAACTTGATGTGATCATAGCTGAGATTCATCCCCAACTTATACTTTGAGCACTAACTGATCGCACAAGATCTGTTTTTAAAACTTTACATTCAGATACTGGAATAAATTCTGTCTGTTAGTAAAATGTCTCATAAACAGATTTTAGAGGACTTCAGAAAGTAATTGTTGGTGGTACATCAACAACTGATTCGCTTTTAGATTCAACCYGATTCAAGATGGCTACCATAACCACGTGATCACAGAGAAATCCAATATTTACATTTATTCAGAATGACCATCTCATCCTGACAGGTTAGTCTCATTTACAAGTGAGATATGTTGAGCTAAGATTTTGTATAGTAGTATGTGAGTATTATCCCCCATGATACAAAAAAAAAAACCTGACATTAACTGCTGACAAGAACCCTCCAACATAACATGGGTCTGGCCCAGTTCTGGTCCAATATGGGGTGCTGTTTGTAAAGTTACACAGTCAAAAGTTACCACCAATATTTTTTATTTTATTTAGCCTTTTATAAGAAAAAAAGAACAGATTTCTTTTTCAAAGTCAGTTTTTCACCAAATGATTCATACATTTATAAAATGTCATAGTTTATAAACCAAATATTTTTCTTTTATTTAGCCTTTTATAAGAAAATAAGAACAGATTTATTTTTCAAAGTCAGTTTTTCACCATATGATTCATACATTTAT